AGATCAGCTGAGTTTTGGTTATATGGTTTACAGGTTAGGTGGTCTGTTCAAATTCTTCATGTTTCCAAACTGCGAGTACAACTCGATCTTTGAGTTATACCCACACACTCGCGAGCATTCTTCCAAAATCGAATGGGTGAAATCGTTGGATGAGTTTAAGGGGAAAAATAGCGGTTTGAAAGAGAGTAGGGGAGGATTAGGGTTGTGGATGCCTTATCCAGGGAACCTTGATTCAGTTGTACTACCGCCTGTAGCAAGAACGTCGAAAGCAGGATGAGTTTGACTTCACAAAATGTATTGTCAAATTTTTCAATATTTTTATTGTTATTATTGTAGTTTGTTAGACACTTCATACGAATTTTCTTCTTGCTTGGTTGGGAAGATCAGTAGGGCTCTGTAGAAGGTCTTTGTGCAATATTTTGAAGAGAAAGTTGGATGCAATGTTTGTTTTTCAAGTTCATAGTTGTTGTATGTTCCAAAATTGTAGTTTACTAAAGCATTCTCTTTAAATGACAATGGCAATGTCAATAATCAAGAACCAACAGAATTTGAATCTGTGCCGTCAGATCTGTGTAATTACTTTGTTCTTTCCCGCTGATTAAAGGAGTATGGTTTATTGATAAGTTTAAGTTTGGAGAGGGAGTGGAAATTAAAAATGTGGGGAAAACAAAAACCAAATAAATAAAAAGTTGAATAAGAAGACTGCCTAATAAAAAAAAAGGGAAAATTACACTACCACCCTTGAAATTTTTGTTTAATACAGATTCTTCTCATGTTTGAAAAATTACATTGTTCTCCTAGAGATTTGTAATCTCATTATAAATTGTATGTGGGTTGTTGAGGTCATATCTTAAAATTTTCTAAATGACCATTTTGTCTTTTTTTCTTATCATTTCTTCTTTCTATTATCATGATTACATTCTACTATTCTTATTGAGTGACGATATACAAATATAAATTTTATATAAAATTTTCAAACAAAATGATGAGTGTTGCTATTAGCACCTACTAAAATTCTTTGGACCTCCAATTTCTTTGGACCCCCACTCTAAACCCTAAATTTTAATAATATTTTTTTGGACATCAAACTTATTAACAAATTTATCCATATTCATAATATTTTCACAATAAAATGTATACCCACCTATATCCATTTCAGCATTAACCTTAGCCTAAATCCACAAGTAAATGCACGCAATTCACACCCTTAACCACACCCACTCTCTGCCTCCCTCTCTTATCTCTCTCCTCATCAGTGATGTCTTTTCTCTCTCTCTCTCTCTCTCTCTCGACCCCTTCACAATCCTAGCTTTTTCTCTCTCCTCTCTCCAACATTAACCACATCTAAAAAGTGGTTCCTGAAAACACAATGCATTTACTTGTGGGGTTGGTGTTCTTCGTCGATTGGGATTTCGACGACGTGGGTCTCTTTGGAATTTGTCATTGATTGGGAAATTCAGATAAGAAAGTGAAGATTGATGCGAATTATAAGAATAGAAAACAGTGTATATATATGGAAAACTAATCTCCATAATATTTTTCATAACATTTTCAAAATAGAAAACTAATCTCCATATTTTCACAATGAAATGCACACCCACCCAATTTGTTTACCACTGTGTAGTCGAAAAAATGTATTTTGTTCAGAACTGTTTTGTCGAACAATAATGATTCTGTCAGCACTGTATGTCCGAACAAAATTTGTTCATCACTGTGTAACTTGAATCCATTCTAATTCACAACTTAAAATAACATGAATTAAATCCATTCAAAATACATAACTTAAATCCATTCCAATTCACTCTTTTTCATTCTAAGTTAGTTTAACAAAAAAAATTACATAACTGACTATCTGCATTAATGTTCGGAACCTATGTATTGAACGAAAAGATTATGTTCAGTACTGTATTACCGAATATAATTCTAACAGTCAGCAAACCAGTACCGAACAGTTCGAACGAAACAAGAACGACCGAAAACGACTAAGAATGTTAATACAAGACAGATAAACGACCGAGAATATTGTCCTCGTCCTCCATTGCTCTACACAGTGAAATAAGTGATGAAGTATATGTTATACTTGAAGCAAAACTTTAAAGTTCAACAGCGTTGATGATGGTGATGAAGGTGACACATTCAGAATTTAAGATGATTATGAAAAATAATAGATTTAGGGTTTATGTTAGTTGGTTATGAAAAGTAATAGGTTTAGGATTTACAAACATAGAATACGTATAGTTGGAGTTGGAGTTGGAGTTGGAGTTGGAGATGGGGGTGGGGGTGGGGGTGGGGGTGGGCGTCTAATATTATAGAGTATTAGTTCTTATTGATAGGTTGGTGTTCCATTTAATAATGTCTTTTAATGTAATTTTACTTTAGGGTATAATTGTAATAAAAAAATTATAAAATGGGGGGTCCAAAGAATTTTGACAGGTGCTAATAGCAGCACTCCAAAATGATATAGCTTATTGGTGACCTTTCACTTTAAAATAAAACACCCATAAATATGATTTATATTTACAATATTACTATCACAATATTTTTATAATATTTTTTTGTATAAATTTTTACATATGAATAGAATTTTTCATTTTTATTTTCGCCATTATTTTTCTTTCTTGTCTATTCACCAACATTTATTATAGTATTACCAAATACCGTCATTCACATTTGTTACAGTATTATTAAATTTTTGTATTTTTTTTGTATTTGGTGAATTTAAAAAAAAAAACCATAAAATATTATATTTCTTAAGTATATCCCTATTAGGTGTATCTAAAAGATAAAAAAAATTATTTAAAATATTAAAAAAAAAATTAGTAAAAATAAAAAAACACGAAAACTAAAAAAAATTATTTTTTTGTGTAAGTTAAATCAAAGAAAATGATTGTTATTTCTCTTGAAATGATATGAATAAAATATCAACATTATTTTATTATTTTATATGTATTAAAGTTAAGAGACAAATATATTATATCAATCTGGCAAGAGAGTAAGTGTAATTTTTCAAACATAAAGAGAAAAATTTGTATTAGATAGAAATTTTAAGAAATATCAGTGTAATTTACTCATAAAAAAAAGGTTGAATAAGAAGATTGCCTAGTAACACAATAATGTGGTTTTAATCACAATGAAAGCTATTACCCATTATTTACTTGCAGCAATCTAGTTTATGTGCAAATTGAGGGGTGGTTTGGCAACCTAACAAAATAATTTAAAAGTCAAAAAAATCAATATATAAAGTAAATTTTTTTTTTTTACTCTTTTTTTTTTTTGGGGTATATTTTTTGATAAAAAAATTAAAAAATAACTAAAACGTCAATGTCCAAACCATTCCCTTGCAAAAAATGAGATGCATTTTCATTTTAATTTTTTCGAGTAACAGCGCTCGGTTGGTTTCAATATAAAATATATTTTTTGAAAAATTCATATTTTCTAACGTGTTTGGTATTATAAAAATAACAATGTTGGTATTCCGAATTTTCATTTATCGAATAGTTCGAATGTTTTAAAATGACGTTGTTTTGAGTATAAAATGACGTCGTTTTAATACATTCGAGTCACACAAATTCGAATTACCAAACATTTTTCTAACAGATGTGAACTAACAATGTTTTGTTGATTGTGAAAATTATTTTTCATAGTCAGCAAAAAATAAGTTTATTTGAGCAAAAAAAAAAAAACTATTAATGTGAATGTAATCACATAGAATGAACCCAGGTGACCAAAATTCATAATCAGCGATATAAAGCTGGATGTAATTAAATTTAGGGTTACAAATGAATAGAGACGTTTGTGAACAAGTTTGAGTTTAGTTTAATAAAGCTTGTTCAAACTTGATTTGTTCAATTTATATTGCGTTTTCGAGCTCGTTAAAATCTTAATAAATAAATCCAAACATATTAAGTCTTGTTTGGGATGTGGGTTGATTTTTTGACTTTTTGGATATTTAAGCCTGGGGATAAAAGGTCTCGTTTGAGATAGATTTTTTGATTTTTTTTTTACTTTTGTGAGAAAAAAAATAAAATGATTATTGTTTGAATTTGGGCTAAAAACCTTATTTTATCTTTTTGTAGCTATTTTAATCAAAAAGTCCCATTTTAACTTGGGCCATTTTTTGATAAGTCTTATTTATAACTGTTTTGTTCCATAAAACCCAAACTGTTTCTGAATATTCCATTAGGTCCATTAATTGTTAAAGGACGAAATAACCCTCTCCGCCTCTCCCGCGTGAAACCGATTCTGCAAAAACCCGTTCCTATTCGAAATATTCAATCCACAAAATTTCCAAAACAAAAACTCAATCGACGAAACGATACTGATATTGCCTCCAGTAACCCTAGATTCCTCTTCGTCTCACCACTACGAAGCTTCACATCAGAAGGAGGGTGCTTCGTCGTTCGAAGATTCTTGTCGCCCCATTGAGTTTATTTTATCCACTGACTGTGATCCATACCCACCAACCATGACGAACAAAAGTAAGGAATACCATTCCACCTTCTGCTTCTCAAATCATAATGTCATCATTGATGTATACATACACCTTCTGGTTTTCGGATTTGAATTTGTAAACATAGATGTTTTCGGAATTAATTTAGTAAAAATATATGTAAACATTCACATTGGCCTCTAACTGTTGTAGTTTTCGGGATTTGTTTTTGCACACATGAATGATGTGAACATTCACATTACTATTGATTACTGGGTAAATTTAGAGTAGTACACACTGATGTAAACACATTAATGTCAGAACACCCAAACTTCACTCAACACTGTGATG